AGCTGTGCAGCTCCAGGGTCTGCAGCGTGCTCGGCAGGCTGGTGATGGGCACCGCGCTCAGGTCTGCCACGTGCAGGCACAGGCGCTTCAGGTTGGGGCACTTGTCGCCCAGGGCCCTCAGCAAGGCGGGGGACAGTTGGGGCGCCTGGGAGCCCGAGAAGAGGTAGCCGCCCATCCTCAGGGAGTGGAGCCGGGAGGCCATGTAGCGGCGGAGGAGGTGCCACATGACTTTGGGCCGCATCTGGAAAAGCCGGAGCTCGCGTTACTGGGTGAGGGGTTCAGGGCTCCCCAGGCCTGGCCCTGTCTGCTGAAAGGCACCCTGGCATGGCTCCTGCTGTCCCCTGGCCAGAAACAAAAGACCATTTGACCCACCATCTTGACTGCTAGGACTTTGGTTTGTTTGTTTGCTTGTTTGATTTTGTTGTTCTTGGAGACAGGGTATTGCTGTATAGCCCAGGCTGGCCTCAAACTTGCAGTGATCCTCCTGCCTCAGCTTCTATATTTCTGGGATTAGTTTTTGTCACCATGCCCAGCTAGACAGCTAAGACTTCGAACAAATCCAGGGGAGAGGGCTGGGGATTTAGCTCAGTGGTTCCGGCAACTGCCTCGCAATCGTAAGGACTCGAGTTTGATCCCCAGCACCAAAAAAAACCAAAAAAAACCAAACAAACAAAAAAATCCAGGGGAGAAAAAAATCCAAACAGATCGGACTTTGACAACAAAATGGATTCTCGTTTCTTCTGACCTAAGAAAGCCAAGGAAGCCTTTTCAAGACAGCTTCAGTGGGAGAAATAAGCTACATGGAATAAGACTAACAAAGGCTAATACTCCGAGTCTATTAGGCCTAGGTTTAAAAAGAAGGCACAGGCTAGTGAATTGCAAATAGTTAACTGGGAAGTTTACAGAAAATAGAATAAAACTGGTACCACATTGCATTACCTTAAGAAGAAAGGAAACTGCACAGCATAAATCTTAAATGTATTCACCTAATTTTTTTGTGCTGGAGATGGAAGCCAGGACCTCATGCATGTTAAGCCTGGGGTTTGGCACTGAGCAACAGCCCTTGCCCATAAGCATGTATTTGGTAGCCTACTTTTGATACCTGAATCAAATCTCCCTAGACAAATTTATTTTGGTTTTTTGAGACAGGGGTCTCACTGTATAGTTCAGGCTGGCCTTGAATTTGTGGTGATCCTCCTGCCTCAGCCTCGCAGGTGTTGGGATTACGGGTGTGTGCTGCCACACCGGGCTTCCTGGCCAAATTTAGACCTGTAGGTCTGGGCCCCTGGGACTTGCTTCACCAGAAATACTGGTCACTCGTGTGCAAGGGCAGAAGCCACAGCTGACAAACTGTGAAATGGGCACAAAGCCAGCGGGCAAAGGGAATTTTTCCTCACAGAACAATGGATGAGAAAATGCTTTTAAGCTTCCCAATAACAAATGTGAGCTCTGAGGTAGAGAAACACATTTTCTCAGGCCCTGCTGGAGGGAATTAACTCTGGTTTCTTTACAAAGCAATCTGGTGATTTCTGTTGATATTTAAAATGTGGAAAATCGCTGCCACCTGTTTTACCTTCAAAGAGCACAGTGAGCAGTCTGTCTGTAACGGTGGGCTCTGCATCACTGATGTAACCAAATGTGGATAAGAAACATTCAGGAAAAAAAAAAAACCACACAAAAAAACCTGTGTCTGTAAAGAGTATGTACAGGCTTTTTTGTTTTTCTTTTTTTGAGACAGGGCCTCACTGTGTAATCCAGGCTGGCCTCAAACTCCTGGTTATCTTCCTGCCTCGGCCTCCGGAATACCAGAGTGACATGCATGCACCACCACAACTGGCTAGATTTTTTTTCTTTTTTTGGCTTTTTGAGACAAGGTCTCCCTACGTAGTTCAGCCTGGCTTTGAACTCTCTATGTAGCCAAGGTTGGCCTTGAACTTTTGATGATCCTCCTGCCTCAGCCTCCCGAATGCTGGGAAGACAGGTGCACACCACCTTTTTGTCATCATTCCCTAAATAATACAGTGTAACACCTAGTTTTACAGCAATGACGTTGTCTGAGGTGCCAGAGGTGATCTAGAGATGATTAAAGACTCCAGGAGGACGTGTGGTCTGTGCAAATCCCGCACTACTTCATAGAAGGGACCTGAGCATCCAAGGGTGCCGGGGGATCCATCCCTACAGAGGCCAAAGACTGACCGAACATGTGGCTGGCTGGGTTTCTAGGGTACATAAGCAACAGGAGCATTAAGGAGCAATACGGAGACTTTAAATCTTAATTAGGGACACTTGAATTTTGGTTATTTTGTATCTCTAATTCTGCATATGCATTAGCATTTTTAAAAATCGGCTGGGGATTTAGCTCACTGGCTCTGCTACCTGCCTCACAAGCACAAGGATACAAGTTCGATCCTCCCGTACCAAAAAAAAAAACAAAAAAAAACAAAAAGGCCAGGTGTGATGATGCACACCTGCTATCCCAGCACTCAGGAGGCTGAGGCAGGAGGATCACCATGGGTTCAAGGCCAGCAATACTTATGGACATATACCTAGAAAACCAATAATGTGTAGGGAAAGTGGAAGGGTAGGGGAAAGCTAATAAGGGAAAAGAAAAAAATAGGAGAAAATGAAAAAATGGAAATGAAGTGTTTGTAAAGGGGAGGAGAGGAGGGGGTGAAGGGAGGGCAGGGACGAGGGGAAAAAATGAGAATCAGGACCTGTCATGTAAAGGTACAAGATCCCAATGATGAATGTAACTGTACTGTGTACCTAAAATGTACCAATAAACTCAATGAGAAAAAAAAATGTGAAAGGAAGGATACAAATCCTTTCCATAACACTAGCTACTTATGAAGATGATTTCAAAGAGGTCAACAGGTAGATCTATTAACTCTTTCATTGTATCTATATATGCTCAAGGTCTGCAGTGGATAAAAGCAAAGTTAAAACAGGTTAAATCTAGGTGGTGAATGTGGTCTTTTTTGACATCATCCTCTACATATTTGTGAAGATTTCAAAAAATATTTCATAGTAAAAGCAAGAAAAATAGGGCTGGAGATTTAGCTCAATGATTCCGCTGCCTGCCTCCCAAGCACAAGGTCCCGAGTTCCATCCCTGCTCCAAAAAACAAAACAAAACAAACAAACAGAAAAAATGCAAATGGAAACTGATTTGGGTACGAGTTGACCCGAAATAATTTCTTCGTTAGACTCACTCACTGGCAGGTATTAATATTTGATAGAAGTCAGATGTTATGTACATGTATCAATTCCCCATGACAAATGTAATCACTATGTACCGCAAACATGTACCAGTGAAAAGTAACACTTGATAATGTAATCATAGAGGGTCATGTAATCTGCTGAGTATATGCCAGGCGGGGCTTTTGTAAACCTTTCTGTAAGCCTTACACAAACTTGGTGAAATCTCACAGTAGCTCCACTAGATAATTTAAAAAATTGTTATTTCAATTACTATTATTTTGTTTTTTGAAACAAGGTCTCGCTCTGTGGCTCAGGTGATTTTCCCTCCCGCGGGAATTCTGCCTCAGCCCCTCAAGGGTTGGGAGTACGAGCGAGCGCGGGGCTGGGGACCGAACCCAGGGTCTCTGTGTCACGGTTTAACTCCATTTCTCGGAGGGGAAAACTGAGTCCCAGAGACTGCAAAGCTGGAGCTGAGCTACGGCGCCCGGACAGACCCCAGACTGCCCGGGCCGACTCCCCACGCCGGGGCCCCTCCCCAGGCGGCCCC